ACTGCCCGCGGGAAAGGCGACCCACGTCCTCAGCACAGGGGATAAGGGCAACGGGACAGAGCTGAGAGCGCAGCACCACCTACTCTTACGGCTGCTAGGACAAGCCTAGCAGAAAGCAGTCTAAATTCTTGTTCCAGGAGCAGCAACTGAAAGGTAAAAAGTACAAACCTCTTCATCCCAGCCGAGCCGTCATTCCAAGCTAGGCTTCTTCTGTGTGGGGGTGCCCAGTCCTCGTCACTCTCCCGCTACGCCAACTGTCCACTAATTGCTTTTTATATTTATGTGTGTGACCACACCATGCTCTGGGGCTTGGTTTTTCAAAGGCTTCTTGCCAACATAAATATTCCAGGTCCAAGATAAAACAGAATAATTAAAAACAGGCCTTGTCATCCAATTAGCTGATCATCTCCTATTTGTATTTCCAAGTTAAAGAGTATTTTCCATTATTTTGCCTATTTTTCTCATTCACATGAGCACAACAGGTTTTAAGTTACAAATGAAACATCTACTTTTTTAAGGATTAACAACAAATATGATGGGGCTTTAGAGAAAAGAAAGGCCTGAGCTCGGATTCCAAACTCTGTGACTTACCAACGCTAAAACAGTTCAGACTTTCTAAGTTATAAATATTATATGACAAAGACAAAATAATTACATAAAGAATATAGTACATAAGAGGCACTCAAAAACTGCACTATGTAATAACAACCTGCTTACAATATTTTTAGGATCTACAGAGCAAGAATAAAAATTCTATTCTTAATGAAACCTGTCCCTATTCTATTTCTAGTCCCATTTCTATTCCTAAAGTTAAAAGGTTTAAATGGGAGGAGATTTCATAATCTGTTTTTGGAATGAGAATACACAGGTATGTGGCAGGGGCTGAAGAGGTATCTTCACCCCATGTGAAGTTCATGAGAAGCAGCTACTTGAAGATTTGCGTCAATGCAAACACTAATGAGTGAACACCTACTAGTTATTCATTTAGCAAATACCTTTGAGTACTCACTATGTGCCAGACCTATGCTATGTGTTGGGGAGTCAGCTATAAATAATATAGACACAAGTCTGGTTCTCAAATGGCTCACAGGTTAGTAGGTAAGATAAGCCAGCAAATGGGAAACGAGAGTAGTACTGGGTGTCACAGAAGCACACAGGAGAACGCCGCCAAATCTGGGAGGAAGGTATCAGGGACAACGCACTGTGGAAAGTAATCACCAAGGAGAACCTTGAAGAAATAAGTAGGAGTTTGCTGGAGGACAGGTTCTGGACAGACAAGGACATGTACAAATATGCTGAGATGAAGCAATGGTGCAAAACCAAGAAGTTACAAGTGGTTTAGCCCTGTTGAAACTCTGGGCACAGCATGGGTGAGCAAGTACAAAGAGGGCTGAAGCACAGTGGAAGAGCAGGGGACCATGCAGTTAGCACTGTGAGGAGGAGTCACATCGTGAAGTGGCGTGTGCTGGTTGCTACAGGAAAGACTCCCATTCGCGCAAAGAGCTCCGACTTAATCTTGGGGCAAAGGGAAGTTACTGAAGAGTGTGGGAGTGACCCAATCATATTTGTCTTTCAGGAAGATCGCTCTGGCTGCAGTGTGGGAAAATAACTTGTGGGAAATCTTTCAAATCATATAAAGAAACGATGTGAGAAGAAGAAAAAAACCAAAAACCCAAACTAACTGCTCAAAGAATCTCAGCTGTTAAAAATGTTCAATGTTAAAAACATTTACTTACAATTTACAGAAAAATATTTTCAGAGCCCATGGCTACAATTGCAGCATAATGAAAGAAAATAATCTCAGGTAAACTTTGTCTGTCAGAAACAAGAGAAAATAAGAGAGGTCCAAACCATCTCTCCGTTCCCTTCACTCCCGCCCCTTAGAGCCACCTCATGCCAGCCAGTTCTTTGTTCTTCGGTCAGGGGCCACGTTTGCTCAACAAATAAGAAGTTGTCCATATGCTTGGGGTAACTGCTATAATGTGCTGGATAATGTTTAAAAACTAAATGCTAACAGATGAGAACCAGGACTGACCTCACAGTCAAGCAAAATTAATTTTAGGTATTTTGCCAATGGTCATTAAATAATGAGAATGTCCATAGATAATGTCTAAGTTAGAGAATCTAAGACCTTACAATAGCAGGTGCAAAGATGGGCACCAGATACAATGATTAGAATTAGGTACTTTTCAGAATTTGCCTTTTAAAAAGAAATTATGCCATTAAGCACTAAACTCAATGATTAAAATTTCACAAACTTCTAGTTAAGTGAAAATGTGGTGACAATTACTGGCACATGACCAAATACTAAAAGAATCTGAACTGTTTTAGAAATAAAACATTTGCTTCCAACTTGAAACAAAACTTTTTAGGGTCTATGTTAAACCAATCTGTAAATATAGAATTAAGAAAAACACGTAAGGGAAGTCTTTTTATGTAGCAAATAAAATGCTAAACTAACCTTTAAAATCAAGATATTGAGGGCTGTTTGGCTGCAACTCACAAAAGACTTAAGACAAAGTAAATAACTATATATTCCTGAAAATTAAAATATGTACATTTTCTAGAATAATTACAAACATGAAAATTTATCATTATTATAAGACATTTCTTACAAAGTCAGGTGCAAATTTAAAAAAAAAAAGGATTGCCACAACTACTTTGGGGACATAGTCAAATCTATGATCTGAAAAGGGATGGATTCATTATATTTTTTTCTTTTTCCTTTTCTTCTGCAGTTACAGAAAGTCCAGACTCAACATACTTTCTAAAAATAATTAAATAAATTTAATAGTTCACAATTGGCTTTGGGTATTTGTGATTTGCCAATCTGCTTATTTCAAAAACTACCATATTTTTACATACAGTATTATTTATGTCTACTGACCAATGTAAAAGACTAGCAAACTGAGGAATGATGTAATGGGAGGTAGAGCAGATTGGCGGGGGGTGGGGGGCAAGACATTCATTCAACCATTCATTCCTTTGTTCAACGAACATGTGAGCACTACTTCAGTGCCAGACTATGAGCCCTAAAAAATTTTTAAGTCCCTGAAGAAACATAATACTACATTTCATCAAATTTGAGATGCCATCAATTGTAAGACTAACTCTTAACTAATAAAGAAAAAATGTTTTCAATTAAACTATGACATAATGCCTTGAATGAATCACATCAGCCTCTCACTGCTTTGATTTTTTTTAATCTATTCAGATAAATTTGGCAATTTTTCCTGCCTTCGTTCAATATATTGCTTGACATTTTAAATGGCAGCCTTTATTTACATATCTCAGTAGGAAACACATATTATTCTACTTTGAGGTGTCTTTGGCTCCCACAAAACACTTGGTTTTTGTTGTTAAGAAAAAGTAAATGGAATTGTGATGATTTCTCCAATAACAGAGGTTTACTTCTCCAATATCAAATTTACATCCCTTTACTTTGTTTCTGTCCTTTACTGTGTGTTCAACAACTTTTTGCCTCGATGCCAAATCATGAAGGCATCTCTCTGATGGTCATTTAAATGGCTATTATATCCAAACCATGTAGCGCTGACACCATGTGTGTAACACCATCAAAACTACGGTATTAAGTGTGGCTACAAGTAAGCCTGTACAAGCAGGGGCGATGAGAACCGGGCCAGGCGGCCCCCTGACAGCAACTGGAAGGTGCCACCAAGTGTTTCAGACACCCCAAATTCAGAGACAGTAAAATGTGAAAAAATGTCTTGGAGCCGCAGCGGTAGAAGCAGCAAACACCCAGGCAGCACCATGAGGAAAGCACCATTCTATATATTTTACATACATTATATCATGAAAACCTGTAAGGTCACAGATTGTGTGCCTCCAGGTGAGAAAACAGGCCGGGGCGGGGACAGGTAACTTGCCCAGCATCTTTGGCCGGCCGCGCAGCAAGGCTGGCCATGCAACCTCTCAAGTTAATGATCACTAACTGGCTTTGTGATTTGAGGCAAATCATTAGAAACTCCTTTCCTTATTTGGAAAAATAGGGAACTGGAATGGATAATGATAGAGCTACTTCCCAGCATGAAAATACTATAATTATATAATCTTTTATGGTAAAATATAATTCCCAAACTAGTTTCTCCTTAAGCCAATATAGTTCAAAGATCTTCAGTGTCATTAGTGATGAGTGAAAGATATGTAAGTTTTACTGCTGGCCTAAAATCGACATAATTTAGAACGAATTTATGAAACAGACACATGTCCCTTATACCGCTATTTCTCTTATTTATGGTAATGGTGAAGGGTTGACTGCAGATATAAATGACCCAATTTGGGGGTTTTACTCTGTTCGCATATATGACAGAAATTTAGTCATTTAAAATTTTAATCCAAAATTAACATATGAGTTCAATATGTCAGTTTTAACAGATATTCACAATACAGAGCCCCTTATTCTTTTTAAAATCCTGTTCATTTATGAGGGGGGAAACAACACATTAATAACAGATGCAACTATTGCAACATTTTCCCTCTTGACTCAATTTAAGGTAGAATTAAATGTGTATCATACACTTAATGACTCTTCCGCCCCGGGGGGACATCATACCCTTTGGATTTCCTTCTACAGACGCAGGCAGCTGCTCTCCTTCCTAGGTCACCTTCCTTCAGGCCCACAGCCTCTGATCATCAGACACCCCGGGATGATTAAAATAATTCCTAGTATTTTACTGGGAAGCTGCCCGACAGGAGGAGAGTCAGTGAAGGAAAGAGATTCGAATGTGAAGTGTCGTTAAAGCCTCCAGTGCTCATTCTTAACATCGTCTTGGCCTGCTTTTCTCTTTTCCATACACATACCCATGCGGACACACAAAATGACCGGCTCCAACAGAATCACTAAAAAGAATACATTAAAAAGACTTCGAGGGTGGGGGGCAGGTAGAAAAAGGCACTGTTGGCAAAAGGAGGCTTAAAAGTGAGAAGGCGCTCAAAGAAGGCAGGCTCTTGCCGACACACAGAACTTTGCTGTTACATACCTTCCCATGCTGCCCAGCTCTTTCATAACAGATGACAACATCTTCCCACATTTCTAGCTTCTCAAATATCTGAAGGGCTGAACTGGTACATCCCAACTCAAAGAGCAAACTTGCGAGTTGGCGCTAGAAAAATCAAGTTAGAATAATGAACGTTTCTTTATGCAAAGGCAGATTCCTGTTCCACTTGCAGGTATAGCCAATCTGCCATTTTAAGGGTCTTCTTATTTGTGATAAATGTGTAATTTATGTATGTCAACCTCAGCTAATTAGGAATTTGCAATGATTCAATACTTACCTTTACTTTGTAGGATGGATTAAAAAACTATATAGTAACTGTTCAAAATACTCAATACATCGATTTTTTCCCCAAGAACTCAGAAGAACTTAAATAGTAAATTTAGTGTTTTTCACCTGGAATAATATATGACACCTCTGATTTGTAAAGCTGAGAATCAATAAATCAATTTTTAAAACTCTAGTTGTAATGGTTATTTTCAAAAAGATAAAAGATAACAAATGTTGGTGAAGATGTGGAGAAGGGAATCCTTGTGCACTGTTGGGGGAAATGCAAATTAGCACAGCCACCACAGAAAACAGTATGGAGGTTTCTCAAAAAACTGAAAATAGATCTACCATACAAGCTACCAACTCTACTTCTGTGTATTAATACAAAGGAAACGAAATCATTATCTCAAAGAGACATCTGCACCCCCACGTTCATTACTGCTTTATTTACAATAGCCAAGATATGAAAACAACATTAAGTGTCCATCGATGAATGAATGGATAAAGAAAACGTGAGGTATGTATAATGGAATATTATTCAACCATACAAAACAAAGAAATCCTCTCATTTGTGACAACATGGATGGACCTTACGGGCATTATGCAAAGTGAAATAAGTCAAACAGAGAAAGACGAACACTGTATGATCTTACTTACACGTGGAATCTAAAAAAATAGAACTCACAGAAACAGGGAACCGACTGGCAGTTACCAGAGGTGGGAAGTCGGGGATGGGGGAAATGGGTGAAGGTGGTCAAAAGGTACAAACTTCCAGTTACAAGATAAGTAGTTCTGGGGATATAATGTACAGAATGGTGACTACAGTTGACAATACTGCATTCTGTATTTGAAAGATGTTAAGAGAATAGAGCTTAAAAGTTCTCATCGTAAGAAAAAAAAAGGGGTGATGGATGTCAACTAAACTCAATTGTGGTAATCATTTTACAATATATGGCTATATCAACACATTATGTTGTATACTTTAAACTAACACAATGTCACCCTAGCCGGTATGCTCAGTTGGTTGGAGCATCATCCTGTAACCAAAAGGCTGCAGATTCATTTACCGGTCAGAGCACAAACCTAGGTTGTGGGTTCAATCCCCAGCCTGGGCACATACAGGAAGCAACCAGGCTCGCTCATACAAGAAGCACTGATTTCTCTCTTGCTCTCTTATCAGGAAAAAAAAAAAAAAAAAAAAAAGAAAAGCAATAAAAAAAAGTCCTCAGGTGAGGATGTAAAAAAAAGACAAACAAACAATACAATGTCATATGTTGTAATATCTCAAATTGAAAAAATAAAAGGAAATTGAACTCAAATAAGTAGGTAAATAAATAATAAAAACTGCCAAGCAGATGACATAAATGACATAAAATCTATGTTACACTCTCTCATGCACTTTATAAGTGAATTTCTAGCTCTTTCTCACTCAGGTCTACTCAGGTTTATTTTAAGTACATTCTAAAAAACTTAACTACCTAATTCCCAGTTCTTTTTTTTTACTGTTGTTAAATTATAGTTGTCCCCATTTTTCCCCCAGTACTCTCTGCCGTCCCAGTTTTAGACAGATAAAAATGGACAGATAAAGTTAGTGAAGCATAAATGCATTCAAAAATAAAAATATTATGGGTTTACAAGTGGTTCTTCCTATAGAAATGAAAAACATACTAGAAAGGTTTTAAAAGAAGGTGAGGTTCTTGAGAAAGTTACAGTTTCGTATCAGACAGAATGTGTTGTCTTCTCTTAAAAACACTTCTACTACTCTTTCAAAATCCAAAATATGTTAAGAGTTAAGAAGCCAATGGATATGGAAAATACAGGATTGACAAAATTTGAAAGTAAAATGAAATATACCTGAAAATTACAAGTTAAGATGTTAATGAAATAAATAAAGAGGATGGTCCAATTCTTTTGTATTCTATGAAGTATAAGAGAATTTGGCTATTTTGGGATATTTGACTGGATATTTTCAATAAATGAACATGGCATGTGGAAGCTGGGATAAATCTTAATGCTCATGCAGTTCAGTAGTCTAAACATTTCATTTAATAAATAAAGTTATGGCATCTAAGCATATGGCTAGCTAGCAGCAAAGACTAATTCTTTCTTACAATAAACTAAGCTGTTACTTCTTGATCTTTAAAAATAATACATAAAGATATGATTATTTCCTAAAATAGAGAAAAAATGATTAAATTTCTAAGTGAAAAAGGATGTTTATATAACTGCCTAAAAATCCTAAAATCCACAGCTTCCTATGCAGATAAAATAAATACTTAGCCTAAATTATATTTGAACAGTATTAATTTTCCTAATGTTTCTGTTCAGAAACAGATTAAAAGCTGCACCCTCAACAGACATGGTTTGTCATAATAATAGCTCAGAGTCTGACATATTTATCTACCAGAAAGCACGTCAGAAATTTCACAGGTCATGGCCAACATCAGGCCAAAAAGTTCCAGTTGTTAAACTTTCTCTATGAAGAAGCTATTCCTCTGAGATGATATAACAAAGCTTTTTAGATGTCTGTTTTATTGAGACTCCTTAAACAGATAACATGAATTCCAATGTGGGATAAACCCCGTAGGTTTCCCTGTGCTTAAGAATATAAACGACTCTAAGAAATCTTACAATGGGGGTTCTGAGTCAATGAATGGTGGGGTGGCATTTATAATTCTAAAGCTGGCTCAAATGACAGTAGTTACTAAGTCATCTAGAAATTTCTGGCAGGCACCATTTGACTCTACCTAACATCCCTGTATCACAGTTTCCTCACCTGTTAAATGGGGACATTTCACAAAATTGCTGCAATAAAATAAGATAACATGTGTGAGATGCAGAACAAAATGCATGCCTCAAAGGAAGTGCGCAATAAAAGCTGGTCAGCGTTGGAAAAGTGCACCCAAGTGCACCGGGCCTCAATTTTCTTCACTGTAAAACTAAGAAATTGGACCAGGTGTCTAAATCACCTTCAGTGTTAAAAATTTCTAAAAAATAGGGGAACCACACCTATAACACAGGAGAACTACAGGGAAGAGAACCAGAATCTCACCCCCAACAGGAGGCCTTAGGAGCTACAATAGGTAATCTCATGTCTTCATAAAAAGGAAAGTAGTTAAGGGTATGTCACAGTACAGAGTATGAAATAAATGCTGTCTCTTACTTTTTGGTTAAACAATTGATTAAAAGGTTCATTCTTTGACAGAAGGTCCTTAAAGGGTTTTTAAATGTAAAAAGTTACTTTGAGCCCTGGCCAAGTGGCCCATTTGGTTGGAGCATCACCTCTTGCACCAAAAGGTTGCCACTTTGATCCCTGGCCAGGGTGTGTACAGGGGGCAACAAATCGATGTTTCTCTCTCACATTGATTTTTCCCACCACCTCCCCCCACCCCTGTAAAATCAATAAATATATCCTCAGGTGAGGAATAAATAAATAAATATCAAAAGCTATTTTGAAAATGAAACCTTCTGTGGTTCTATTATTTAATTCCAAGGATTCTGTTTATCTAGTTTTAAATTATTTTTAAAATGTTTGAAAAGTCTAATATCACTTTAATCAAAATAGCTATTCGAAGTAATTGACAGTCCCCAGATATTTTCATTCTTTTCACTGAAATATCTGAAAACAGACATAAATTGAAAACAATTCTTTTCTAATGCTCTTGTCTTTCAAATGCAAAGTATAACCAATGACAAACAACAACGAAAATACCTGAATGGCCCAGTGAGGTGGTACTCGACAGCAATAGAAAATCTTCAGACGTTCCAGTATGGATGTAGTTTTGTCTTCAAATTGGTCTGTAAGAACCTTAAGAGCACATATCATAATCAGTATCTACATGTGTAATAACTTAATATAAACAAGATTCTTATTGTAAAAGTTACACAAATAGACACAGAATAAAAAACACAGGTCACTTTGATAAGGTGAGGAAATGTATAAATTTTCTTCTTGAATTTCTTTTAGAAAAACATTAAAATTAATCAACATTTACGTAAACATGCACATTAAAAGTTCACCAGAAAAATGTTTTTAAAACTAAGATTTCCTATAATAGTTCTTTTAAAGAATTGCCCTTATTAATCAGTCTTTTTTACTTTTATAAGAAAAACTGTTCTTTGGTGTATCTATTTCGCAGCCCTGATTTCACTTTGACAATGGCACTTTCTAATATAAATCAGAGAAAAATTATATGAAGAACTTCATTTAGGACTATTTTCTCAGGAATGAGGTGAAAGGGGGAAGTGGGTGTGTCAGAGAACAGAGAGTTTTCTTACTCTTCAGCAACAGAGCTATAGACCGGGCCCCCATTCATGAGAGGCCATCCTCAGGGCACAGCGGACAGCAGTTGGCTGCCCGCATTGAAGGGCCGCTCTGCTGTCCTGAAGTACCTGCACTGGGTGGCACTGAATAACTGAACTTCCGGAAGCCACATCAGGAGGCGGACCCATCCGTCTGAGATGGCTGACTCTGAGAAAGGGTACCACAGCCAACTGCAAAGTCAAAGGCTGACGCCATCGAGTGGGCGAGTGGTCACCCAACAGGTGAGCTCACATATTCAGCACCAAAGTGAATGCAGACACACTCTGGAGTTCCAAAGCAAATACGCAAACAGCAGCTCTATCATCATGATCATCTTTCTCTGTCTCTTAATTTGTCGTGCAGTTCAGAGCAAGTATATGTATTTTTTTCAGATATGCACTTAGACCTTCTCTAAACTGTGACTGGTTTTGCATAACACAGTACTCAAATGTTCTTTTTTTTTTTTGCCAGTTGACTCGTTTCACAGCCCTGTCTTATGAGGATTAGATGGAACAATAGGGCAACGTTAATTTTCTCATGTTAATACACATACTATGATTATGTATTTGAGGATGGTGAAGCACTATGCTGGCAACCTAGTTTCCAATACTTCAAGATAGACAGCTGTACTGTACTTGCAACTTTTCCATAAGTTTAAAATTGTTTCAAGTTTTTACAAAATTAATTTTTTTAAACTGAAAATCAAAAAAGCAGCAGCAGCAAGTGGCAAGCCCAAGCTTCCTCAGAAGAAAAAGACAAGAATCTAACATATCCCAGAAAAAGCACAAGACAAGGAGACCAGTTTCTGAGTGGAGAAACTGCTCCTCTCTATCATACCAGGTGGGAAATATATTTGTTAGCTTAAGAATATCCTGTAGAATGAGAAGATACTCATTACATCACTTGTTTGACAATCCAAGATGTTATTCAATCAAGTCAGTAAGAACAAATTGAGACATAACCACACTCCTAAACCATCTTGGTCAAAATATTTTTAAAGCTTTCTGGCCTTACTTCAGAGAAACTTAATAGCAAAAAGGTTGCACGCTTCTGCCCAAAGCTATTTAGCTGTAGGAAGGAGAAAAGAGAAGAAAAACTTCTGGCTGAATACATATGGTTACAATACATAAATAAAAGGTTCACTGAATTACTTCATCAAAAGGGGCACCAATTTTTCTTTTTATTGGTTTTTTTTTCTTTCTTTGGAAGAAAAAAAAACCCCTAATACTTATTTAATAATAATAATAAAGCCAAAAGCAACATCACAACACTTACTTTTATAAGTCTTAATTACATGTGAATATGGTTACTTTCAAACACAACTCATGTTGTTTGCTGCAGTTAGTGCACCTAGCTAAAACATATTAAGCATTTAGTAAATACTTGCTGATTTATTAATAAGCAGATTTGTTATGTATTTCAGATACATTAAGATACTTGTAGATGATCTCAGAGTAAGTGTCTCTGATCCTCTCAGATACTCGCCAAAGGCAAAGACTGCAGGAGAGACAGAGCACAGAACCAACGTCTGTTTGAGCCGGAGCCCGTGAGTAAGCCCCTGCACCAGTACAGTCACGCTTCATAAGAAGTCGATTAGGACACATGTATGATAAAGACAAAGATGAAAAGGAGAATTCGAACCTACTTTCACTCCTACACAAAATATACTTCTCTGCACGTTAAGCATGACAACCACCAAAATAAGATCCATCTACCAACAAAACTAAGAACATTCAATTAATGTACAAAAAGGGCGATGGTGTACTGTTCTTTGCCTACTTCCCCTACTGGATTCAAAGTACCCTTTTTTATTTGCTAATTCACTATAAATCAGGGACATATTTACAGTATGTCTCTCGATTTTTCAGAGTAGAATTATTTCTAGCAACTCATTCTGAAATCATTCCACTATATTCAAACAAACGAGAATTCCATCTAGGCAAAGTAAGTGATTCCATTACACAAATAAACTGGGTCCTTTACAGGAGAAACAGTGCTGGTAAGTGAAGTGACCTGGGTTCTATTCTAGGTTTACCCCCAACAAGCAAGTCATTTACCACAATGGCGCTCATCTATGAAATGATCTCCTAAGAGGCCTTTGCAATTGTAACATTGTATGAGTATAAGGCTTTATCAAAAGAGTATTTTGTTTTATTTCAAACATTTGAGGAGATTTGTTAGTTTGAGGCATCCTTGCTGAACACAAATATCATGTGCATTCCTTAGGGGCAAACCTAGTACCCAAATAGTCTGGAAAATCATGGTAGAGTGGTAAGTACTAGAAGGATGGGACTGAATGAAAGTGAAGCCTCAGTTACTACTGTGTGTATTTATGTTCATAAACATGGGCATAACAATGTGCTTAGAGAGAAACTGACCCTTTGCAAGCTTGCACTACACCTAGAAATTTAGGTAAATGGCCTCTAAACCAATGTCCCACTCTTTCACTTACTGTTTTCTCTTTCAAGTTTCTAAATGTCATGAATTTCACACCCAAAAGTCATGGACATTTGGTCACAGTTAAAGCTAGAGGTGGTCTTTAAGGAAAGATGAAAATATCAAAGAGAGAGAGAGAGAGAAGCAAATACACCCTAAACAATCATGAAGAGTTGAAAGCAAGACAGTGAACTCTAGGAGGGCAACAGAAGGTATGTGGATAAATGGGAACAATGACCAGTAGAGAGTGAGGAATAGTCTATGGCTCAGTCCAGAGGCGGGAAGAGAGCCAAGTAACAAAAAACTCGGGAATAAGTACCGGGACTCACCAAAGACACCTTCATGGTGTATACACTATTGTGATATGAGACTGTCTTCAAGTTTTAAGATAGCCCCCTTTTAAAAAATTGTTTCCTCCTCAAATCTTGCCTCAAAGCATTCATACTTTGAGTATCTTCTGAGGAAAAGCTACTTATGCACGTGAATTCCCCGGCGCCATGCAGTAACATTGCTCAACCCTGTCAGGAGCCCATCACCACAGGTCAGAGGATACCTCTGTGAAACAGGGGAAAAATAAACCCCCAGAAAGCAATGCTGTGTCCTCTCTTCTTAATGCTCTGTTTTCAGTAGAGAAAGATCCTCCCCACAAAACTAGAGAAGATCAAGACTACATTTTAAAATTAGTACATGGAGAATGATTTAGTATAGAAAGACGATTCTGAACAAGATCTGGTATGATTTAGACTTTATTTATGTGCTCATTTCTAAAAGTATGGCACACATACCTTCAAAAGAACAGAGCTAGTCCCTAAGGACCTATCCTTTTACTGAAGGCTATTCATTCTTGCTAGCGTGATATCAAAGTCTTTACCAGCTTTCTGAAGAGCCAAGTAGAAATTAGCTGATAATCTAAAAATTATGATTGATCTGATGCCAAACCACCTTGTCGTGTTGTACAATCTGTGTGTGCATGTGCGTGTGTGTGTGTGTGTGTGTGTGTGTGAAGGAAGGTGAGATTTATTATACAAATATGTACTTAATCAAATATATCCAACAACTGGGCTGAACAACTTTTTTGACAGGAGTCTGTAGTCACTCAGACTACACTGATTTACAAACGGTGGCCAAGCTGACACCTCGAAACTCCCTAGCCCAAGAGAATTCCCACTAGGAACAAGGGGAATGAGAATTAAAACCTATTAGCACACCTACTAAGTACCAACAATACCATGAAACCTACTGTTCACCTTGTATTAGCTCATGTACAGGAAACTGCAGCTCAGAGAAATAAAACTGACTTGCTCAAAGTCCTAAGCTGTGAAACAGGTGAGCCTGTCTGATTCCAAAGACCAAGTTGACAGTTTCACTAAACCCTTACCTCATAACTAAGTGAGCCTATCAGCTCTGTGAAAATAAAACGGCAGCTTCTGAATGGAAAAATATTGAGAACTCAACTGAACTGGGTTTTCTCTGAGTCCTGTTAACACTGGAGTCAGGGCATGGTCTGGTGAAGATTTTCCATTACTGCTTCCTGTTCCAGACACAGAAAAGACTTCCGTGTGTGGGCTGGAGGGAACTGGGCCTACAGTGGGGGCCGGGAGAACCCATGAATCTTTTTTATGATTGCAGAGCAAGGAGCTGAACACCAAGAGGCAGCCCTCAAGTGAGCACAGAGCATCATGCTAGCGTGTCCCCTTCAGTCAAACCTTAGGTAGGAGTCCTTACACTTTGGGTTTTAGGACTTCTTTAAACTTTTACAAAGCACTGAGGGATACCAAAGAGCTTTTGTTTATGTGAAATGTAACCTAGCAATATTTTTCATATTAGAAAATAAAACTGAGAAAAATTTAAATATTTATTAATTCATTTTATTGGGTTGGCAAAAAAGTCCATTTGGTTTTTTTCCTTAAGATGATTCTAGTAGCACCTGGCTGTCTTTAACTTCCTTTGAAACAATTTTGTTAGATTATATAGGGACAGCTGTCATATCAGCGTGCATTTAAAAAAAGTTAACAAAACTGGTGAATTTTTGTGTTGCCATTTTAATATTGAACATGGAAGAAAATAAA